CTTTGAGGCCTGGTAAATGCTGCTCTCTGCTTCTAAGATGGTGCCTTATTGCTGTGTCCTTACACAACAGAATAGCAAAAGAACAAAAGTGAAGGAACACACATGGTAGAAGAGCAGAGGAGAGTGAATCAAATCCCTCAAGCCCTTTCAGAAGGCACTAATCTCATCCATGAGGGCTTTATTCTCATGACTTAATCATCTCCTAAAAGTCCCACCTCTTAATATTATCACATTGGTGATTAAATTTCAACATATGAATTATAGGGGACATATTCACACCATGGGAATGATGTTGGTCAATTTCTGCGGAATAACTACGTCACTGTGAGTGATGGGAAGCTATCAGACATGACCTCACTGACCATAAAGGTGGGAAGACAAGCACCTCTCAAGCCCTAGGAGCTAACCCAAGCACACTGCCAGATTGATCTATATTTATCAGCTCCACGTCCTCTCTTACTTTTATTATCTCTTAAACTTTTTAAAGATATATTTTTATAGATATAAAACACTCTCTTACTTTTATTATCTCTTAAACTTTTTAAAGACATATATTTTTAAAATATCTCATTTATGGAGCTATTTTAAACCTGTTCTTTAGTCCCTGTACACTGCAAATGCAACCCCCCTGTATATTTCTCCTCTTGATTTGGGGTTCTGTTCAGAGAGCTTTTCTAAACTTGTGTAACAGTGCAGATCCAGGCAGAAACATGACTGCATAATTTAAGTGGAAGAAGTTCATTAGAGGGAACTAATGACTCAAGTGAGGGAAGAAGTAAGAAGCCAAATTGAGGATGGTGAAAAAATTCAGAGAGTAGAAGAAAACTACTACCATCCACAGGGGCTGGTAGGACATAGGGTACTACTCTAGTAGTACTATATCCTATAATATACTATACTATAGTAGTACCCTATAGGTAGTAGTGAGGCTACTGCAATCTATAAACCATGGCCAAATGGCAGGAGATAGAATCACACCAAAACATCTCCAAAAAAATGATGAACTCCCCACGGACCAAAACACAATCTCTATAAGAGCGGAGACTTAGTCACTTTTGTTCAATGCTGTATCTCCAGTGACTAATAAACAGTCTGGAACATAGTAGCTGTTTAACATACATTTGATTATTAGCCAAAGTTAATAGTTTAAATATTATCTTCCACAAATGACTAATCATTGTAATTCACTAGTCATGGCAACAGTAACAACAAAAAGAATATTCCAGGCACTCCTTTGGGTATGTAGCAGTTGATGATGAATATTATAACCTTAAAGTTTACATTGTATGAATACGAATTATGTAAAATCAGTGAGATTCCATATATCCAAATAAGATTTATTTATGTATTTATGTATGTATGTATGTATTTATTTATTTATTGGCTTTTTGCAGCAACCAAAAGCCATTCACAGTGATATCTAGTGTAAGGCAATTGATGTAATTGGCCTAAAATATGTTGTCAAAATAAAGTAATAACAATATAATTTAGTGTGGTCATAATTTGACTTACAAGGAGTTTCCAAAAATAAAAAAGAAATACTTTAAACACATAACACATGTTCTGTTTTAATCTTTTCATGAGAAATCTGAATAAAGCCTGAAACATGGCTGGCTTCTACAGTGATACAGAAAAAAATAAGAGTTATCAACTCTTTTGTGGCCCAGTCCTTAACTAAACCTATATTTAAGATTACCTTCACTGTGAGTAGTCAATATATTATGTGACTGAGGCAAATCCATAATAATATATGACCCTGTCTTCTCATTTTTAATCCTCAAAGATAACCATATCTTCTCACTGTAGAAAGCTTTTCCAGAAGACAACACGGGAATTTATACTCAAGATTCATAGAAACGTCATGTGATACATGCTACAAGTCCTTTATTGAATATTTACTCACAATTATTGCTAATTCATTAACTGCTGAAGGGACCAATGGCAGAAAGTTTACATTAATTACATGTGGATGTTATGTATTTAATTCTGTTGTAGCACAACACAAACATCTGTGGAATAAGTGGCTATTTAGACCACCAAAATAAGCAAGGGTACAGCATTATCTCAGACATTAATCAATACTAATCATATGTAATGAAGAAAGTAACAAAACATTTCCGTACACTTAAAATGATAATCAAGTCAATAATCTCTGACCATATGTTTGAAACTGGAAAGAATGGCTGCTTCTAGAAGAGTAATGGGGTATTAATTCAATTAAAAGAGAAATCTACTTGGGTTATCCACCCCATCTACTCTACTACAATCATTTCAAGAAAAAACGCTGAATCATGTCTAAAATATTTTAAGGGTCTTCTAAACTTAACAGGTCTTCCACATATTTAGGAGATGCAACTAGAGGTCTGGTGAAAATGAAAATCTAGACAAGAAATATGAGACTTTGGTGCTTCTTGGTCTTGTGCTGCATAGTTGCTTCCCTTGCCCTTCCGGCACTCTATAGTTAGGTATAGTTTATTAGTCTCGGAGAGATCATTTATGGAGCTATTTTAAACCTGTTCTTTAGTCTCTGTATGCTGCCAATGCAGAACATATTTCAGCGACTAAAAAGTCATATTAAATATCTCTCAGTCAGTTTTAAAAAATAAACCTTTCATATTCAATCTCTTAGGTATCTCTTTGGTATTTCCTATACCTACTGCTCTTAATACCAAGTTTTAATCAATTCTTTTAGAATAAAAACCAATGATTTTTGATTTCAAAGGTAATGCTCCTACTTTTCCTTCAATAATTGTAATCTCATTGTAAGGCAGCTAAATCTCTTTGAACTAAAGTGTCCGACACTGACATGATTATTTAGGTGTTCTCTGCATGACTGCTTACGTTTTTTTCCAAGTCAACAAATATTTCAGGTCAACAACAAAGAAGGTCTATTAATTGAAAAGCATCTGACTGGAACTGAACTCTCTGAATAGAATGATCTTGTTTCTCTCAGTGGCATAGTACATTAAAAAAAGAGGATAAAATTAACACTATTAAGTGTTCCTAATAGAGATGATTAAAATAGTGAGACATCATTTATTTTAATGAGCTACTGGTAATAGAAAATAACTTTGTGGAAAAAAACTCGGTAACAATAGCTAATAATAAACCATCAGGAGTTTCTGCTTAATCTTATGAATTAAACTATGTTTTCATTGTATGTTTTCTTTCAGATATAGAATTCTATCAATTTACCATTCATGACTGAACTTAATTCCTACTATATTGGGATTCTCATCAGAAAAGAACTTTCCTTATTCTTTATTTCCAGAACAGTGGGGGAAAAAAAACCACTGTGATTATATCAACTGATATCGAGCATATTGCAATTATTCATATGTTCATACTCCACCAGTGTATATCTATCAGAGGATGACCATGATCTCTTTTCAATGCTACCATCTGAAAATTATCCATGTAAGCCTGGTTTTTCATTACTTTGAATGAGTCATTACTGCTCAAAGATCTTTTTAATTCGTTTAGATGTTTGCCCATTAAATCCTATGTTGCAGATTTCCTTCCTTTTGTTTTTTTAAGTCTCCAATTCTAAACTGGCCACCCTTTCTAAAGACATTACATTTTATACATAACTCTATTATTTTTTAACTATATGAAATAACCTCCTTATATCAACTACTGTTCTCCTCATTTCAAAACATGCCTTTCTTATTATCTTATCCTTCCCTGGTTTTTACAGAAATTAGGTTCTTCCTTCTAATGCTACCTTCTTAACTTGTGTTCACAAATTCATTACTTCGAGTTTCCATCCCCACCTCTCCACGGCCTCCTTCCCCTCTGCCTTTAAGTACCTTCAAGTCTTCCCTTGATTTTAGTCTGTCCAACTAGCAACCTAATTAATACCATTTTCATCATAGTGCTTCAAATGCTTCAAAAATTCCCTAAAGTCCCTTAGTTGGTTACTCTAATATTTTGCTGAGGCATTCATAATCTTCACCAAGCTGGCCCTAAATGGCTTTTCTATACTACTACCCAGAATAAAATCTTTGCTTTTGTTTGATTGACTTTGTTTTTGCTTCATTTTGTTTGACTTCGCTTTTGTTTAATTGATTAAAGGCTGATTAGATTCACCCTTTCCAAAGAGAGTTTAATCATTGCCTTTCCTGATTTTTGACAACACTGTGACTTTCACTTAAATTACCTATATCTTTCTTCATTTACCTGACTTCTAAGCTTCATTTCAAATTCTGTCTTTTCTGTGAAGCTTCTCTTACAGCCCTAGACCACATTTAATCTACATTTTTCTGGTTCCCTACAGATTTTACATACCAACTCCTTGTTTAGCACCTAAGTATAAGAATATTTAAATTTTGTTTTGCATTCATGTTTATATCTGCATTCTTCCCTGCAACAACAACATAACCAACCAACAAGCCAACATTTACTGAGTACTCACTTGTCAATTATTCTGGTGGGTCAAGGAAATATTAATATAAGAGTGAATAATGTTTCTTTTATTTACTCAGAGCTCTTACTACAATGCATCTCTCAGGTAATAAAAAGTATTTACTGAAGACAAGTAAAGTATCACCAATAGGCCTGCTGTTAAAATTATCTATTCCAAAGATATTGCTATATATACAGGAACTCCACAAAAAATGTCATGCAAGAACTGGAAGATTTGTGTGATCTCAATATCAGGTGTTGATTACTTTGACTTATGTTTTCTAAAAACACATTTCAGCATTCCCACTATTGCCAGCACGTCTGACAAGTAGGTAGAAGCCTATGATTTGCAAGCACACTGAACAATATATTATTAATAATTACTGATATCAAAGGTATTCTGATTGCAAAAATGCATCTTAAAAGAGAAAACATAGATGTCAAAACTGTGCAAGTCAAAAATAAATAAATAAAACAGAACAGCTTGAAACACATACACGTCTCTACACATGCTGGTAGTTATACTAAAACACATTCAAATTATTACATTCTATGATTTTCAAAGACCGCATCTTAAAACTAGGTGTCCTACATACCTGTCCAGTCTCCTACTATTTTAAGATGAACCCCAAATGTTGCTTTGGTTTCAGTTGGACACTAAAAAAGAAATACTAGAATCAATGGTGATTAATAATTACGTAACATGAAACTATAATTCAATTACAACTTTTATCCTGATGGCAAATCCCCCAAATCAATAGATAATAGGAAGAAACAGACCAAAATCTCTATAGATCCTTATTAGTGGAAGAAAAAGAATCAATGTCAACAGGTCGATAAGACAATCTACATTCCTCTAAAACCCCAAAATACTTACATAAAACAATAAATTACACATGTTAAAATTGCTAGTGTATTTTATTTAACTACAAATCTTGCTAAAACATCTTCTAAGTTAAAATATATATAAGAAACGCCAGTTTTTAATCACAAAGGAAGAAACAAAAACTAATGCTTTTTTGTGTCCTTTTCTCCCTAGATATTATATACTTATCCTAACAAATTCCAAGGAGAAAAAATTCTTAATATGACATGGATTTTTCATGCCCAACAATTATGCTCTTACTGAAATAACTCCATTTCATTCCCTCCCTTAATTCTCAGAAGAAATCTGGAGTGGTGAGGGTACCTGGGGAAGGGGATGAGTTGTAGTAGTGTAAGTAAAAAAAGTGCTTGTAGTCCTATATTTAGGAAACCTAGAAAATATCCAGGTAGTCAAAATGAAAGAATAAAATTTAGTTTACAATAAGAAAAATGAAAAATTTCTTCTTGTTTTCTGGATTCCTACTCACTTATCCTCAATTCCAAAATTTGAATAATGGTTTTTTCATAACTCATTTGGTAACAATATCTGACTTGAATTAATGGGAGGCTAATATTTCTGTGTAAAAACTAATACATAAATATTGTCCTACAGAATTATCAACTTATTTGAGCATGCTGACTAACATCCTGTTGGAGATATTAAGTATGATATGAAATATGCATACCTTTTAAAGTCCATAAAATCTGAATTCTAATGATGCACCTAAACTAAGGGCTATGGTTAAGGGACCATCTATCTGCCTGTGACTACCCAGCTTTTATCAAGTACCATGTGCCATGGGAAGTGTTAAGTGATTTATTTTCAAAATCTACAATAACTTCACAGAATTGTCTTTTATAGATAAGAAAATTGAGTAATGGAGGCTTAAAATATTGACTTGCCCCATAAAAAGACAAGACAAAATTTGGATCCAGGTCTGTTAATTCTTAATTATTGCAGGTCACTGTCTCTATAAAGCAAAGATACACAAAATGGGTGAGAGTTGTGTAAGAAATCAAATGAAATAGGAGGAAAAAAGGCATGTGTTGATCATTAGTAGAATTGGTATGCCACAATATGAATTAAAAGGAAATACAGGCTGAAGTTATAGCACAGGTGAAAGAAAACAGCAGTGGAAGGGCCTTGTGATTAGTGTTTGGGTTACATGGAGCAAGTCCAAGACTTCAGAGCTCACTGCATTGACTAGTTAATGCAGGTCATTTAGGGATGGTATAAGGAGAGAAATAAATGAAGATAAAGGTACCATATCTTATGTTAACAACTCATTAGGCAAAAAGGAAAGGTAGCCTGAAAAATCAGTGAAAACACTAAATATAAAGGTAGGTATTTGTCTTTGATTCATAATAAATTATGAACAAACTAGAAGCCCATAATCTATGTCCAAGGATTGGAATTAACGTACCATGGAATGTCCAAACTACTACTTTACAATCAGTGTTTCTTATAGGATTGTTATTGCTAACAGTAGTATAAAATATTAAAGTAAATTGAAATATTTTTAAGTGACATTGTTTAAACATATTTATTATTAAAATTATATTGTTTTATTTATAAGTGTGACTCTGTACTTGATTGTTTTATTTACATTGTAACTTTTGTTGTTGTTGTTGTTGAAATGGAGCCTCACTCTGTCACCCAGGCTGGAGTACAGTGGCTCGATCTCGGCTCACTGCAACCTCTGCCTCCCTGGTTCAAATGGTTTTCCTGCTTCAGCCTCCCAAACAGCTGGGATTACAGGCATGTGCCACCATGCCCAGCTATTTTTCTTGTATTTTTAGTAGAGTTGGGGTTTCACTATATTGCCCAGGCTGGTCTCAAACTCTTGGCCTCATGTGATCCATCCACCTCACCCTCCCAAAGTGCTGAGACTACAGGCATGAGCTACCACACCCAGCCCACATTATGATTTTTAATAACTCTGAAAGCAAACAGTTTTGTCATCAGCAAACCTCCAAATAAAATATTATCTGCAAAAACCACCCACGATTTTACTATGTACTACTGAAGGCTGGCCAGAGTCTCTGTATAATAAAAGTTGTAGCTCTCAGAACGCAAGATACCCAACAGAGATCTGAGCTACCAATCTGATTGTCCACATGTCACCGGATGTCCTTCACTGTAAACTATATCTCAAATTATGAAAAGATGATCTATAGCCAAGAAGGTATCAGAATGGAAGGCAAAGAATGTTTGTCCTTGTGTGCCTGAGGGTACATGTGGCTTCAGTTAATCTCATGATGCATTCTAAAATAAAATACATATTTTATCAAATATTCATATCTCTATTCAATTTTTTCAAAGCAGATATTGTAAAAGGTAAATACACACAATGTTTAACATCTCATTGGGTATCATAGGAAACTGTAAACTTCTCTTTTCTAAGTACCAGTCCAAGGTATCAAAATATCTTTGAATGCCAGTCTGGTTTTGAATGGATAAAACAAAATATTGTTTCTCTCAACCTCTTGGAAATGAGGTCTTTATAAGTCACTGATACTTCTCCAAGCTACAACAGATTTTAACAGTCTTTAAGCATGTGACCTCATATTTGCAAGGAGGCTTCAAAGAATAACATAAAGAATGAATTCAGTGTATGTGGTTTGAAAACGTGAATGAAGATCTTGGAATCACATTTTAGTATCTTTGCATAAAAAATATCCAGATTCACTAATATTGGCTAGATCACATTGTGGTGATTCATTGTTTTCTCACTGTCTTTTTGTTTTAGAAAACGTTGCAAAGGGAAGAAATAATACAGGTATTGATATCTATAGCTCTATTGTTTGTCCTAAAACATGAATAAAAAGATATGCTTATGACAATTTTTCAGTTAAAAAAGTTACAGAATAATATGTGTAGTTAAGCACATATTAATATTAAAATAAAAAGATGGCCGGGCGTGGTGGCTCACGTCTGTAATCCCAGCACTTTGGGAGGCCAGGGCGGGTGAATCACGAGGTCAGGAGTTCAAGACCAGCCTGGCCAAGATGGTGAAACCCTGTCTCTACTAAAAATACAAAAAATTAGCTGGGTGTGGTGGCGGGCACCTGTGGTCCCAGCTACTCAGGAGGCTGAGGCAGGAGAATGGTGTGAAACTGGGAAGTGGAGGTTGCAGTGAGCTGAGATCATGCTACTGTACTCCAGCCTGGGCGACAGAGCAAGACTCTGTCTCAAAAAAAGTAATAATAATACTACTAATAATAATAATTAGCTGGGCACGGTGGCAGGTGCCAGTAGTCCCAGCTACTCGGGAGGCTGAGGCAGGAGAATGGTGTGAAACTGGGAAGTGGAGGTTGCAGTGAGCTGAGATCATGCTACTGTACTCCAGCCTGGGCGACAGAGCAAGACTCTGTCTCAAAAAAAGTAATAATAATACTACTAATAATAATAATTAGCTGGGCACGGTGGCAGGTGCCAGTAATCCCAGCTACTTGGGAGGCTAAGGCAGGAGAATTGCTTGAACTCGGGCGGCAGAGGTTGCAGTAAGCTGAGATTGCACCACTGCACTCCAGCCTGGGTGACAGAGTGAGATTCTGTCTCAAAATAAATAAATAAATAAATACATACATACATACATACATAAAAAATAAAAAGACAGACATTTGTGCTTTTTTTTCTCATTGAAGAGATTATATAATCAAATTTTCGGAATACTAACTTGAGAAGTATAATTGAAGACAGAGAAAACAAGAACTCTCATAATCATTTCATACACAGCTATGCTTTAAAATCTATCAGAAGCCTTTGCTATGATAATAATTTTAGGTATTTTGAAGTTTTAAAGTTTTAATTTAACTGTAAACATTCAAATGTTGCTGAATCTCTTTAGTTTCTTTGACATAAAAATAAAGCTTGGATCAGGTCGTCCTTAATATAAATTCTAGAATACACACTCACCGAAGTCTAAGAGTAAGAAAAATAAAAAGTGACAATTTGACTGTAACAACAGATCTGGAGAAATATGTATTTTAATATCATGGAGAAAGTATAACCTTTACCTTCCAATTATTTCTTCAATATGGCATTGGGTTTTTAATGTGCACAAATGACTACTAATTTTATAACAGTCCCACAAAATATAAAAATATGTTTGTAACTTATCATATGTTTGGGAATTAAATGTAAAAATGATGTCACTGCACATTATTTTTAAATAAATATGAATTTATTCAATATAAAAAAATAAGCTGCATTTTTTTGTTTAGAAATCAAGAGCCTTTTAATAAAAATTAAAAATTTAATAAAAAATAAAAATCCAAAATAGCAACTTTTCAATAACTAAATGTGTTAAACCTGAGAAAGTGATCACATAATATGATGTTCTTTAATCATTTTTGTCAAGTCTTTCTTTTAACCCTTTCTTCCCAAGTTCTTGGTTTCATATTTTCTACTGCCTGTTAGACATTTATACCTGAAATTCACTGTAAATTTACTGTACCTAAAATTAATATTATCTTATTCATACTTCCAAAACTATCTTCTCCTTCTAATTCCCATATATCTGGAAATAGAACCTATATCCTTCTTAGAGAGTCAAATCTCTCTGAGTGATACCACTTATTTCTCTTGCCAGCATTCAATCACCTGTCGTTTCCTTTCAAACAGGCTTCCCAAAGAAAACGTCTGATCACAGCGATCTCCTATTGATTAACCTTTTGTATTCCCCTGTGAAAAAACACCCATATACTTTCTGTCCTATTGCCTATGGCCAAACACATCTGTTTCAAATTCTTTCTGGCTTTATAGTCCAGGTTTCTCCTTTATTTACTCT